GTGTGTGTGTGTGTGTGTGTGTGTGTGTGTGTGTGAGTGTGTGTGCCTGCATAGTTTGCTCAGTGAGTCGCTCGGTCAACGAGTCAATGGCGGCTGTTGGCAGTTGGCAATCGACGCTCGAGGCAGCCGTCAAGCGAATCGAATGCAATCGTGACACACACACACACACACACACACACACACACACATACACAGTCAATATAGACACAACATGCAACGGAGCCTGACTACAAGTTACCCTTTAATGTTCTTCAATTCGATATCAATTTCGATTCCCAACGTTACACATATATCGTTAGGCAACTTTAAGCTAGACTATCGATAGATCGATACATTGTCATTAATGTCGCGATATATATCGATATGTACAGTTTAGTCAATTCGCGTAGCCATGTATCGACATTCAGCTTCATATCTAATTATATATATACATACAAAGTTTACTCAATTAGCTAAGCCATTCATCGATAATCAGCTTAATAATCCGATATATATCGATATATATTGATTTTTTCGATTAGCTTAGCCATTTATCGATATTCTGAGTCTGCTCAATTGGTTTAGCCATACATCGACATTAATTTTTATAACGCGATATATATCGATAGTTCAATCGATATATTATATTATGTCCGACTAGGAGAAACCCCACGCCCTACTGCCGTTTTGGAACGTCATATCTCCGCGCGGAGTTATGTCGTTTTGGAACGTCATATCTCCGCGGGGAGTTATGTCGTCTTGGAACGTCATATCTCCGCGGGGAGTTATGTCGTCTTGGAACGTCATATCTCCGCGCGGAGTTATGTCGTCTTGGAACGTCATATCTCCGCGCGGAGTTATATCGTCTTGGAACGTCATATCCCCGCGCGGAGTTATGTCGTTTTGGAACGTCATATCTCCGCGCGGATTTTCGTCGTTTTGGAACGTTATATCTCCGCACGGAGCTATTACCCGAGATATTAAAAAACTCATCGAAAAAGTTTCGATTTACGCATCGACCTCGATTTTGAACAAAAAAAAAATATCATGTAACCCCTTGCCATTTTGTCGATTTGGGTCAAAATTTTGGATTTCCTTTTTTGATGCAAATCGATAGAACTGATCCTTACGAGTCAAAAATGGTGTAAAATTCCTAAATCGGACATTATTTTACCGAAATGTTCCAAAATATCATCAGAAAGGTTGACTTTACGAACGAATCGGTTTTTTGTCAATAACATTTTTCAACCCATCGATGATTAATTTGTTTGAATGCCAATTGATGGTGGGGATCCGTACGCATTCAAAAAGGTATAACATTTTAAAATCAGACATTATTTACCCGAGATATTAAAAAAAATCATCGCAAAAATTTAAATTTTCGCAAAAAAACGTGGTGATTTGGAAGGTCATATCTCTGCGGGGAGTTATGTCGTTTTGGAACGTCATATCTCCGCGCGGAGTTTCGTCGTTTTGGAACGTTATATCTCCGCGCGGAGCTATGTCGTTTTGGAACGTCATATTTCCGCGGGGAAAAAAATATTTGAACTTTCTTCTGTCCACATGCTCGCACACACGCACCCTCTCCCCTCTCCACCGCCCCCACTCCCCCCGCCAGATGTGTATATTTCAGATATAATCCTTATAGCAGGATATTAATCGATGTTATGAAAACTGAAATTATCGGGAAAAACTACTCAAAGACTGTCTTGGGCTTTTGAAGTTCGCCTTTTAACTATTTTCAACATATTTGGGCTCACAAAAAGAGTATACGCATGGGCTTGTCTGCTTTATTTGTCTTTGTCTTTGTCTTTGTCTTTGTCTTTGTCGTGTTGCTTCTTTCTATGCAATTTTTATGGCCATTTTGTTGTTGTTGTTGCAATTGTTGTTGTGGCTGCTCTTTGCTTGGCCACTTTCCATTGCATAAGCAAAAGTTGATGAGAAGCTGAAAGTGGGTGAAGTTGCCCGCATGCCTTGCCGTAGGCAGAGGGGGCAGAGGGGGGCTGGGTGGCTGCTTGGAAGTAAGTGCACTGCACAAACACTTGAAAAATGGCCAAATGGACACTCAAGTCGCTCCCTCTCTCTCCCTCTCTCCCTCTCTCTCTCTCTCTCTCTCTCCCTCTCTCGCTTTTGGCATTTTCCCTCGCTGCCTCGCATTGGGCTCTGTTCATTTTGAATAAAAAGATTTACTTCCTTGTTTGCGCCGTTGCATCAACCCCCCCGCCCGCCAACCGCACCGACCCACGTTCACCTTCCTAGTGCTGTAGCCGCCGCCAATGGCCTCGACAACGCGCCCCGGCCTTCCTGTTGCACCCACAACAAGCGCTTGCAACGTTGACTCTATTAAAAGGTGGCGCGGGGCAGGGGGCGCGCGGCTTCGTTGTCTGCCTATAAACCACCGACTGCGCACATGTGTGTGTGTGTGTGTGTGTGTGTGTGTGTGTGTGCGTAAGGCATGTTATGTTGCATATTCAAACGGCAGCAGCAACAACAACAATAACGCTGAGCGACTCGTCATCATCAAGTTTTTTGCGTATACCCTGTACCCAAAAGCGCAAAACGGGGTATAATGAATCAAGGCATACGTATGTAACAGGCAGCAGGCATGCATACATATACATAATTTCTTGCTCGGCATCAACAGTCGATTCGAACTGGCCATTACGGCTGTCATTTTATTCATAAGCGATAAATATCGATTCCCTAAACCGATAATCGATAAACTACAAATCATCAAATTAGAAACATACTTTTTATGTGGCATACAGCTGACTGCAGGGTATTTGCCTAGTCGGGCATGCTAGCTGTTTAGCTGCAGTCCTCCTGTTCCGCCTCTCTTTCGCTCTCTCACACACACTCCTACCTCTCTCTCTCTCTCTCTCGCTCGCTCTCGCTCTCGCTCTCTCTCTCTCTCTCTCTGTATCATTTCGTTTTCACCCACTCGGCCACTCCCACTTGCGCTTATCCATCTGCTGTCACTGTAGCCTGCCCATCCGCACCCCCACGCCGCGTCCCCCACCCGTACACCCAACAGTGCAGCTGGCACCCTCCCTCCCGGCAATCCACCGACTGCGCTTGCACCTTCTGCATCTGCCAGCCATCATTGCAATTGGCGTCATTTCGTGCGCCGTCGACGTCGCGGTCGACGTTGCTTTTGCTGTTTGCATCATCACCTTGTGCCGTTGTCAGGGCATTGGCACAGTTTCTCTTCTTCTATATGCATGCATGTGCACACACACACACACACACACACACACACACGCGGGCACATATACATATATCTGTCTGCTGTATTTGTATTTATATTATTTTGCTTTTTTTGCTGCGCTTCTAATTCGCCTTTTGATTTTCTTGTTTTCGCAGTTGCAGTTGCTTTTCATCTTGTTGTTTTTGTTCTTGTTATAGTTGCAGACGAACTTATTGAAAGGGTATTTATCATTGCTGTATTAGTCTGAGAATGTGTGTGTGTGTGTGTGTGTGTGTGCGAATATATAACAAGAGCTGCAAGCTTGACATCTGCGTGTGTGTCTCTCTCTTCCCTAATTCGATCTTAAGCGCGCGATCCGTACAAATATTTCGATTAATATATCGATAACAATATCGACACAAACATATCAATGTCAATTATATCGATAACACAAGGACATCGATAAATAGAATTGTTACATGTATATCGAAATCAAATGCTCTAACAGTTTCTCTTAGCAACATATCGATAACAATATGTCGATATCAACTGTAACGATATCGATAGCAATCGATAATTTCCACAGTGCACGGCCCAACATCACGTAAGTTAAAAATTCGATACTGTTGCAAGTTTCTTCCCAGACTCAAGAAAATTATTGTCAAGTTCCGATGTAAATGCAAATATATCGATAAATAGTTAACTTAATCGAGTAAACTATCGATTAACTTATCGTAAATGGGTTTCTTCGAGCTACATAACTTATACAAAATATTCGTCGTCACTCGCCAATGAAAACGATTTCGTTTTAGAGCTGAGTATTATAGACTTTCATAAATTAGATCTAATACTGAGCTCCTGCACGTAATCGTGAAAGCTTTGAGAACTTTTTGATATATATTTTCAATATAATACCCTATATTTGCTCGAGGACTCATCATACAACTCTGCTATCTGTAATCGTTACATTTAGAGCTTCGCCTCATCTCTTAGCATACTTTCTGGCTGTTTCTGCATTTGCTTTACACGATTGCCGATCAACGATAACTGGTAAATAATCGATACTTACCCCGTTAACAGCACGTGAGGCAGCGGCTGCTGTGGCAACTTCTACGGCTGCGAGTCCCGCTCCGCGTAGATGCAAATGGCTGCAATGGAAAATGGAAACGGAAGCAAAAGCGAGAGTTAATTATAATTAAGCTTGCATCGCGGATAGAACTAGTATGATGCTACAGGTGAGTAAGGAAGAGAGAGAGAGAGAGAGAGAGAGAGTGAGGTCGCTGACAAGTCAGTGACCGAGTGTCAACTGTGCGCATAAGGGACATTTGGCTGACCACGGCGCGACCCTGGACATATTTTTGATTGCCTGCCGCATACCCTATATACATATGCGTATACCCTGGGACATGTTGGCGCTCGCTGCGGCCCAGGTAATTGAGGAAGCTAACGCTTTGGTCCGGCTGAAAATCAATGTCTATGTCTGCGACGCTGTCTCCACTGTGTGGGCCACTCAACAAAAGCTTGTGAGGGTCGCGGTGAGGGACGTCTGCCGTTTGCATTGTTGTTGCACTGCATTTGCCAAAAAAAAAAAAAAAGAAGCTCTTGCCAGCAGCAGCAGCAGCAGCGGCAGCGACTTGCTCTCCCACTTGCAGAAAGCTTTTTGCGCGCTCTCTCACAGGCGGCGGCAGCTGCGCTCGCATTGCAAAAAGAAAGAAACTAAATAAAGGAAAACTGCGCGCCGCGACGCGACGTCGCTGCCGACGCGACCTGCCGCCTGCGCTGGGCTATTGGGATAGGTCCAAGTCCAGGCAGTGTGTGCTTGCGTGTGTGTATGTGTGTGTGTGTGTGCGAGAGTGCTTTTGCGTTCGCCTTGCTAAAAATAGCGAATGATTGCAGTCGCATTTACCGTTGCCGCGCTCAGTCGGTTAGTCAGTCAGTCTATGCAGTCCGCCTCTCTTCGCGCCCTCTCTCTTGGTTTCATGCCTCTCTCCACCTGGCCATGCACTTTGCTCGCCTTTGCGCATTGCATTTGAATATATTTTTATTCAATTCTTTATATTTTCGCCACAGCAAGAACAACGGACAACTCCTAGCGGGAACTGCACTACACAAACATGCATGAACACACACACACACACCCCGCTTCCACCGACCCCCTTCTGGCATGCCCTGCACAATTTTTTTTTCATGCAAAAAGGTTGAAGACCTTTCACCTACTTTTGCCGCGGACGGGGCGAACATCGGCACAGGGCGAAGAGCAAACTGTTTTTCGCTGTGTGCGAGCGCCAGCGAGTGCGGCGAGCCAAGGCGAGGCGAAGACAAACAAAACAACAGCCTGTCAAGTAAATCATGGTGCAGCGACTGTTGAATACCCTGTAAGCGTTGCAGTTGTGCGTTATATTTATCAATGTATAATATCAATAATATAATCAATTAGTAAAAAGCTACAAATTTAATGTAAATTCGCATTTTACATACAAATTATATTGGCATGAAAACTACTTAACAATTTTAAGCAATAACCATCAAAAAATAAACAGCTTCAATTTCATTTTTAAATATGATATCAGAAAAACCTAATTATTAAAAGCAAATAAAATACATTTTTGGCGTTGTACGTTTCGTTTTAAAATCGCAACTTTTTGTTAGATTATTATTTTTTTTTTTTCAATGATAGATGACCCACTTTCGACGTACATACGTATAAAAACATATGGCACTCATGCCTATATTATTTGTTCATTTATTAGTAAGCACTCTTAAATTTCTGGACATACAGCAAGCATATGAGTATATGCGAAAATATTAATTAGAATAGGCTAAATTTGAAAGGCATCATTTTTAGCCGAATTTTGAGCAACTCGTTTAACAGCTGTTAGGTTAACGTTTGGCTAACTGAACTGAAGTCTGCATTCAAATGCCTGACAAAATGGTTATGATTAATGCAAGGGTATATATCAATAGAAACACAGATGCAGCAGCGGCCGAGAATGAAGTGTGGACGAGAGATGCAAGAGCGAAGCCTGATCTCTGTTATGCATGCGTGTTTGTGTGAGTGTGAGTGTGAGTGTGCGTTGTGCCTGTGTATTGGTATTGGTGTGCACATATATTTAGCACATTTCGTTTGTTCGATTCGCAAGTTTTTGCGCTTGTGTTGTTGTTGTGTATTGAATGCAAGATCGTTTAATATTAGGCTTTTGCAATGCATTCACAGTAGCTGCAGGTAACGGTGACTAATTGAACAGACCCAAAATGAAATGTTAATTCAAATATGTACATAGATTCTCGTTGCCTTGCCCAACAGTTGACCCGTTTCAGTCGCTTTCTCAGCGGCAATTTTGTTGCGCTTTTGATTCTGTTTTACAGTTCTTTATGCTGTTTTTTTTTGTTCTCTTTCTTGTTGTTGTTTCTGCCAGCCAATCGCAAATTATTTGGGTCAATTATAAATATTAAACGCAATTAGCAATGAAATTTCAATTTCATTATCACCAACGTTGACGGCGACGTTGGCAGAGCGCACGCAAAAAAACAAAAAAAAAAACGAAACAAAAACAAAACGAATTTGTTGACGACGCGCACAACGCGAATGATAAGCAATAAGCGAGTGCAAGTGTGAAAAAGAGGGGGGGGGTTGGTTCGGCGCTGAGCTGGGCAATGCATAAGCCACAGATCGACTGGGGGAGGGGAGGGCAGCTGCGGGGTCTGAGTGCTGGCGGCAGCAAACGATGCCGTCGTCGTCGTCAGCGTCATCGTTTGTTCTCTCGCGCAATGTCAAGAATATTGTGACCTTAATTTTGGACATTGTCAAAAATTACGTTGAACATACGAAATGCGTGTAAACAATAGTTTGATAAGATGCAGCAGCAGCAGCAGCAACAGCAACAGCAGGAACAACAACAGCCGCTGCTGCTGTTAGACGGCTGTTAAAAATGAAAACTCACTGACAGCCAGTCCTTGGCAAATGCCAAATGCGGCTTATCGTCGCATACAATTCATGCACTTGCAAGCCCCAACCCCCTCCTCCTTGTGGTCTACTGGTCTTTTTATTTTCTACCTGCACGCTAAAATGTCAAAACAGAAAGGCGCAAATTGCGCCAATTGCAGTAACAAAAACAACTGCAAGCAGCTCTTCTATACAAACACACACACACACACACAGAGCGAGAGAGAGAGAAACACACATACATATATGCAAATGCCCGCCCGCCTGCCGCCTCAGCGAGTTGTTAATTGTCTTTGACTTGGAAATGACCTTAAACTAGGTTAAAGCTCGCCAATGTTGCCCATGTTGGGCCGCGCGGGGTTGCGGCGGCGGCTGCTGTGCTTTTGTCTGTGCAGTCGCTGTAAATTTGAACTTTCTGTGCAGCAGAGCGTGACTGCAGCGCTGCGAGAGCGTGTGCGTGTGAGCAAGAGAGAGAGCGCAAGAGGAAGAGACATGCATGAATATTAAATTAAGCAGCATGCATATGGAATTATGCAGGAAGCGATCCCATGCAATTCGATGCACAGTTCGCAAAAAATAGAATGTTAACGAAAAGCTCTGCATATATACACACATATATATATATATATATATATTTATGTGTGTGTTTGTGTAATTAATTTCTATTTGCCAAGAGAAAGTAAAAACAAAAAAATAAAATGGGAAAAAAACCATCATTCATTGCTCATCAAATTTGACGGCAACGGCTCGTTTTCTATTATGTGACCCCCCGCCCCCCTCCACTCGCTCGATCTAGCTCCCACTCTCTCTCCTGCTGGCTCTCTCGACTCCCAATAAACAGTGTGCCGCTGTTGCGGCGTAGGCGTTAAGTCAGCTGCGCAGCGCCAAAAACCAGAGAGAGAGAGAGAGAGAGAGAGAGCGCGCAACGCACTAAATACAAGAAGAGCAACAACAATGCGCATTACAATAAAATAACATAACAAGGGCTAGCCAACCAGTTGGCAACCTCTCCCCTCCCCTCCCCTCCGCTTCAACACTACACGCCAACACTTCTGTTAATTTGAGCACAGCTTAAAATCGCTGAGAATGAGAGAGCAGCAAAACAGAACGGCCGTACATGTGTGCGTGTATGCATGCATGTGTTGTCTGCGCCAAGAGAGCGCCCGTGAGAGAGCGGCGGCCAAAAGGTGAATGACATGCCCGCCATAGACTTGGCGTTCGCTACAATTCGGCTTTGACTTCGTTAATATCGAAAATGCAGAGCATTAGATGTGCTTGCTGTTGTTATTATTCTTGTTGTTGTTGTTGTTTTTTCATACACATGTAGAGCTAAATTTGTGAAGCGGCGAACTTTCAAAAAAGAAACAAACCCAATGCACAGAACGAAACGGGCGCACAGCAGAGCAGACAGCCAAAGCTTTTCAGCGCAGAAAAGCTTGCGCTGACTGGCTGCTCGCTTCGTGTTCGTTATGCGGTGTTCGTGTTTAATGTTCGTGCATGTTCGGCAACGGCAATGACAGTGTAGCTGTGCCTCGTACTTTACATTCTGCCTCTTAGTAGGTCAACAAAATTCCGGACAATGGCCTTTCGCTTTCGTCTGAGCGTCTGCGATGCGTCGCTGTCGCTGTTGCTGTTGCTGTTGCTGTTGCTGTTGCTGTTGTTGTCGCTGCAACTGCAGCTAGAAGCGACGCTGGCGTCGGCGCCAACAGCGAATGAGCGTGCAAATGTAAATAGAAGCGAACCACCGCAATTTGCCCAACGACGGGCCCATTGCCTCTCAGGGCAACACACACACACACGCACACATGCATAGATCACAGGCATGTTTGCATGCAGTCGCCGCGATGTGCATGAAGATATTTCAGCTGTCGCTGCCGCAGTCGATACAGTTGTTTTTTTTTTTGCTTCTAATTTTCTGCTCTTTTTTTTCGTTTTTGTTTTTGCCTTGGCGATGGCGTAATAGACATGTCCGCCTCCTGCTGTGGCAGCGTCTACGTCTGCGGCTGCGGCTGCTATTGATTGCCAGCTGGAAGCTTCATGTGCCATGTGCCATGTGCAACGCACCCCCCCCCCTTTCCCCCCCTTCCGCCACACAATCCACTTGTACACTGGCCAATCGCATTGCTGCGAAGCTGTAAACAGAGTAGAAGAAGAAGAAGCCGTAGAAGTTGGCCAGTTGAAGCGATCTTAACTTGAACTCCAAATAAAATGAAAAGCTTTTTGTTCACACTGAAAAGTGAAGAGGAAGCTTCCTAAACAAACATTGAGTATTCCCCCCTCTGAGCTTTTATTACCCTATCTTCACTATCACAAAGTTAATTAGCTAATAAATTATAATATATTTAAATACATATATATATATATTTATAAATATATGTTAATATATGTGATTCGCATAAATGAAGCTTTAGCTTATTTAATAGACATTGAGTATTTCCTTTCAATGAGCTTTTTCTTAAAGTTTTACACCTTGTCCACAATATCTTCAAGTTTTTAGGCTTTCAAATTGTATTTTATTTTGATAATGTTGATTTAGTGGTCAAATTGTAGTTCTTGGAAATGGTTTCATAATTGGACTAACTGTACAATGGAAATGAGAGCTTTCGAAAATTGTAATTTTCCAGAAATTGGGAGCTTTGCGACATTTGTACTGAAAAATGAGAACATTTGACAAAATTAAGCAATTGAAGCAGTTCGAATTTACGAGTGATTACTGTATCAATAAATTATTTTACTACAATCTCAACAAAGCTTTCAATTAAAAGCACAAGTACAGTGAAACATTACTGAGACGAACCAGTTAAGTCTGTTTTTTTATGATTCTGCTTTAGCAAAGCTTTTCTTCTATCTGCGTCTATCTCAGGCATGCATTTCGCTTAAAGCTTTGTTCAGGCGCATTTCCTATAATTCCCAAACAGTTGCCGCAACCGAAAGCTCGAGCAGTTGGCTAGATCGCAGTTACCCAAGACTTTGGCATATGCAAGGCTTAGCCTGATATGCGAAACTTGGCGCTATTATACAATTCCTTAAATTAATATTAAGGAAAAAAGAGTCTGCTTAACAAAGCTTTCAAATAAAATGAGCTCAAGTACAGTGAAACATTGCAAAGGCGAACTTCTTTCTTTTTTGGTTTCTTATTGGATTCTGCTTTAAATTGAGAAGGTATTTACGGTTCAGCAAAGCTTTTCTATGATCTTATATTCTATATAGGTCTACATATAAAATCACAAGTACAGTGAAACAATGCTAAGGCGAACATCCCTTCTTTGATATTCAACCTTTTTGGATTCTGCTTTAAATTGAAACGGTTTTTAGGGTTCCTCGAAGTGTTTATAGTCTGTCTAGGCTAAATTTGTAATTAAAGCTTTGTTAAAGCACCTACTTTATGATTCCCAAACAGTTGACGCAAATGAAAGCTTGATTTGTTTTTCTGACGAACTTTGCCAATTGCGTTTTAACATTTGCGAACTGCGTGTTTCATTGGAAAAAGAGCTTATTTTTAGATGAGCAATGCATGAT